TGTGTGTGTGTGTGTTTGTGCAGGTTGTGATCCCAGCTACACGAAGCAGCTACATCCCTGACAAGCTGTGTGTGCTGCTGGACGACGCCAAAGAATTAGCTGCACAGACCACACTGCGGAGCCTGGGTACTCTTCAACACAAACGCACACACACTTGCTCACTCACGGACAGTTCATGTCTCATGAGAACAGGAGACAAAAGGTTTTTAGGGCAGTCTTTCTGCCTGAGGACTTGAGCGGGTAAAAACTAGCATTCACCTGTTTTCACAGTGGAAAAAAACACTTCGAAAAATGATCCTGTCAAAAAAGAAAAATCATTTGCCTTCAGGGCTTCTGTAGAGGAGGTAATGAAGATGACGGTGCACATCCTCAGACGGTTTCTCCTGGAAGACGTTCACAGTGTTCACTCGATAGAAATAGTTCAAATAAACAAATCATTTATTCTGTGAAACAGCGAAAAGCACACGTTGCTTCTGTGAAGTTGAAATCTTTAAATTATTGCCAACAATTTCTTCTCTTCTTTACACCTGTAACACGTCACTCTGTGTGCACTCAAACCAAATGTCGGAGCTGCTGTGGTTTCATGAGCCAAGATTAAAAAGGTTTTAATATTTGATGACGGGGAGAGAAAAATATGGGACAGAATAAAGTTTTAACCAGCTGAGACTCAGCAGAGGAGCCAGATATAAGAAGAGATTTTCCTGTGTTGTCGATGTGGCCTACTGTGGACATCCGTCGCTGATAAAGCCCAGCGGGCTCCACAATGAATCCATCCCAGGGTGGGATTTCCATAATTTTGCATTTCCTGGAAAGCCTTTCTCATCTTCTCTTTTGCAGAAATGTTTGTTTTGAGTCTGAGAGCAGATTTTACCCACATTGTCAGGTCACAGACATCATCCTGCTACCATATACGCTGTTACCAGAAATAATCTCCCATCATGCATTTCCTCTTATACACAGCTGTTGAGTGTTTCTCAGCTTTTCGTCCTAAACATCATCCGTCTGAAATACTGTTAAGAAGCTGCGTCTCTTGGGGTCGGTGCTTAAGTGCAGTGTAAATTCACCATCCTTGCATTTTAGAGTGGGTCTCAGAGAATCATCACACGAGCGTGAAGAGGAAATAAAAACCTCAGAACAGGAGTAAAGTGGGTCATCTCAGAGACCGAAGAAACATGATTAATATGAGACTGAGCTGAAGTGGTTTCCTTAATTGTCTCACAGGAAGTAGGTTTGTGTATGAAATGCTGACTGCCAGCCAAACCACAACCCAAGGAAGAATCATTTGTGTTTGGAATGCAAGATGTGAAGACGAATCTTGGAGCGCCTGGGCCTCTGGAAGTCTTCCCTGTGGTAGACGCTTTTAATCAGACGCTGAACACGGCATCCATTTTTTATCCCCCTTGAATATCAGCGAGTGATGGAACCTAACCCACAAAATAAAAGCTGTTTCCCTCCCTCACTTTTCTGTCTTAAAGTCGGGAGGAAGACTCTGATTAAAGAGTCAGATTCAAAGACTCAGAGTCAGATGAAGTCATGTGACGTTTGATTCGGTCTTTGGCGATGCACCACGTTCTTCTTCTCCTCTTTCTATCCACGCGTTTTATTTCATCACTTCTTTTTTTCTGTCTCACCCTGCTCATCCCCTCCCTGTCTTCCAGAATCGTCTGTCCTGAGCGGAGGCTCCAGTGATTCTCCAAGCAGCCTCTCTCCTCCGCCCGCCCTGCCCTCCTCTCCCACCACTCGGGGGTTTCTGACTGGCGATGGCAGGGCCTTCGCCTCCTGCATGCCTCCCTCTGCCACACCCTCCCCCTTCCCCCCTCCACCCTTCTCTGCCTCCCAGACTCAGAGGTTCTTCATCAACTCCCCGCCGGCTTTTTACTGACGGTGAGAAACACAACGATCTGAACGTTCAAATAATGTAGTTTAAATCATTTTTTAATGATATTTGTAAATCATACTTTTATGAAAGTATTGAAGATCTTTATGTACTGTCACATATATATATAAGTTAAGAAAATCCTTCATACACAGTCACTCATCATCTTCATATAGTGTTTATATCAGTTTATATACTGATCGGGTATTTCATCTGTTTCGTGTGATGATGTAATTCTGCCTCATGTTGTTGCAGGAAGTTTTTTCTCGTCTGAGAGTCGACTTTGTTCATCAGCAGAGCAGCGAGGAGAAAAGGCAGGACTGTTATTTTTTTATGAATATGCCACCAAACATGTCCCGGGGCTGTGTTTCAGTCTGGCCAACGTTCAGAGCGGCGTCTTCTCACCTTAAAATGTTCAGAGAGGCGCTACGTCCTCCGTCTGTTTGTTTCTTCTGCCTCTGTATCTTGCCCAGAGACGACTGGTGGGAGCGAGGGATAATATTTAGTCTGTGATGAGTCGCTTACCTCTGACGCACAGAAACACACAAATCCAACAGATATAAACGACTTCTGTCAACCTCTGGTTAATGTCAGCCTCCTCCCCCTCCTCTCTGGTGTCTCTCTCTTCCCATAATGCATCAGCAGGACAGCAGATCTCAAATTCATACACGTTCATAAACATTTGAAAATTAGGGGATTTTTTTCTGATGAGTTCAGGCATGAGGGGAAAAAATGAGAGCAGGAATTAAATAGCATTTTGCATTTTGAGAATAAAGTCGACGTTTCTGGTTCATGAATCCAGTTCGAGTAGCAACAACAGAGTTAGATCTTCTTCTGAACAGTTTCCAGACTGATTGTCACTCTGTGTTAATGAGATAAAAGAAAAAGTTACTAAATCTGACTGAAGAACAATAATTTTCTTTTTTTTTGACCGACATTCTTCCATAGAAATATCTGAAGATTTTATTGTTTACTTATTTATTTGCAAGAGAAAAGATTTCTGTTTAAAGCGTTGAAAGAAAAAGAAAATCTTTTCCTCCTCATTAATTCACACTTTTCAATCTGAACACTTTCTCCATTTTAAACATAATCCGAGAATTTATTTAAAATGTACACTATAAATTGTAAACATTGAAATACTAAAACTATTTTTAAATTAATTTTAAAAGACATTTTTAATTTCATTTAAACCAAAAGAATAAATATGAATATTTTCTATTTGAGGTGTGAGAGCTGCAACGGAGGACAAGAAGAGGTGGTTTGTTTCTTTATTGTAAGACATTAGAAGCAGAGCGGAGACACTTCATGTACATAGTTCTTTTAACATTTATATAGAATTCATTGGAAACAAAGAGACGATTGTGGAAGTTAAACAAGTTTTCACTCTGAAAGTTTTATTGACCTGTTTTAACTTGGATCAAACGAGCGGCAGAACGTTCTTGTCCATATCAATTCAGGCTATTTGGATCTTAGCGTGAGTTTTGTTCAGACGTGTTGTTGAATTTCTGTTAAGTGTCTCCGTGGAAGTGAGAATAAGTGAAGTGTTGATTGTTCAGTGTCCTGGAATAAAACAACTCTGTTGATTTATTTACAGCCACCATGTCGTTTGCCATAATTTACAAAATGAACTTCAACTGTATTGAAGAAGAACTCCTTAGGAAGATGTAAAGAGAGAGGTCAAATCATTTTCTCATAGACTTCTAATAAAACAACCGGGGGAGTCGCCTTTTGCTGGTCAGAGAGAGAATATAGGTTTTAGACACTTAAGCTTTATCTTTACATCTACAAACATCCAAACAAAGAAGGAACGTTGGTTTGTACAGTACGACCGACAACTGATGTGTATGTTTAGGACATAATGCTGTTTCTCTGACTTCTTTCCTTTTGAGTTCCGTCTCTTTTAAGCATAGAAGTTGTGATACATCTATTTGTGGTTGTTTCTCTTTATGGTTGTTTTCTTTCTCTTCGGTCAGTTTTACTGAAGCTTTTTGTCTTAAGTTCTTTCCTCACATCCTCGTTTTTGAAGTGGATGAAACCCTACGTGTTGTGATTTAGTTTTAGTCCTTGTTCTCTTTTCAATTCTTCCTTCACCCCTCTCTTTCGCACAGTGTGTGTGCGTGTGCGTGTGTGCGCGCTGGGTTCAGAGATAATTATTGCAGTGTTGTGCTGAAGGATACAGATCCAAGGTTTGGATTCTCTAGTTATCATCCGCCTTTGTTCAGCCCGATCTCTCTGAACCTGTGTGACTCGTTTCTGCTCCTCTGAGGTTTCGTTTCTTCACCACATGAAGCAGCAGTTTTCTGGAACGATGCTGCCTCACTAAACACAATTAGATCTTTTTTTCTCATTAGCTCGATAAGAAACCTGCTGATTCAGCCGCCGTCGTGTTTCTGTGTGTTTACTGTATTTTTAAGGATTTGAGATTTAACAGCAGCAAAGAGATCAGTTTGGATTTTGGGAACTTTCACTCAATCTTCTTATTTTCACTCCTCCGTCTCCTCCTGCTTCTACATCCCTTTCTCTTCCTCTCCTCTTTTTAGATTTCTTTAGATTCTTGTGTCATTGTTTTTTCCCATTGCGCTGCTGACAGAGTCTTTACGTTATTGATGAAGATTGTCATGGTCAGATGTCAAAGGTCAATGTCGCTGTGACCTCATCGCTTGTGAATGTGATATGTCACAAATATGTGGAGGGACTGAAGCTGATCTAATCGGTGGAAGTGTACAACAACAGGTAGCTCATTCTAGTGTTTGTCATTTCTCCTTTGTTCACTCTGTCTTACCTTTCCTCCTCCTTTCCCCTCAAAACAACTTCAATAGAGAGAGAGAAAGAAGGAAAGAGGAGGTGAAGGTTGTGGATTAAAATTAGGAGGAAAAGGGTGGAGGTGAAGATGGAAGAAAAAATGTGAGAGAAAATCGAGTACGAAGAGAGAAAACTGATCAGAAACATAGCTGAGGAGGAGGAGGAGCGGAACTGAGCACGAGGGAGGACAGAGAAAGATGGAGGGGGAGGTGCAGAAGTGCAACAGATGGGATTATGGACAGAAGCAGCAGGAGGGAGGAGGAGGAGAAGAGTGATACTTGTGTATTGCCGTAATGAAGGAAATGTTGTTTGATTATCAGCAGGAGGGAGCAAGTACGTGCTCAGAGTTTAACGTGTTAAATTAATCCTCTGTGTAATCCACTCTGTCGGCACCACAGTGGCACATTCTTCTTCTGCTTCTTATTACCTGCACACTCTGTCGCTCTGTCACAACAAAAACAATCTGTGCTTTAATTCATCCACTGTTTCACTCCTGCTACTAATTTCTGTTTTCTCTTTCATCTGTATTTGTTGCAATTCCGCAGCGATGGGAGTTCATTTTCCAGTCAGGCGTCTCTCCGGACGCCTCCCGTCTTTCAAATGAACAGACAGAATCAAAGAAAGGGGCTCAGAGTGGGTCCTTGTTTGGTTTGACTGTTGGTCGTTTGCTCCATTCAGAAGTAGATTTAGAAAAATTTAAATCTTTTGTATTCCCATTTCAACTTTATCTTTTGAGGTTAACAGAAACTCTGGAGTCGTCTGATGTAACGACCCGAGAGCAGTTCCAGTTGTTTCTAATGTCAGGGAATTTATAGAAAGTTATGAATTCAATGGATGAAAAAAGCTTCGACATTTTCTCCTCCCTCCTTAAAGACATTCACCGTCAGGACTGAAACTAAATCCTCCACGTTTGTTTGCCTCGTTTCTTCCTCTTTTCTTCCTCTTCAAACATCCTCTCATCCTCAGGCTAAAAGAATATCCTCCCTCCCTCTTTCCTCTGTGGCTCTTTTTTTTCTCATTTCTTCCTCGGCTTTCGCTAAGGTTGATTTTCTTTAAATGTGCTTGAGCTGTGAATGAAGAAGTTGTTTTCACATCAGGTCTTAATCCCTTTTCTCACGAGTCTCTCAGACACACTCATCTAATTGTTCCCCTTCAAAGCTTCCAGTTTGTTCCAGAGAATTCTGTCCAAACTTCTCCAAACCCTCTGTAGACTCCAGGTTTAACAAAACAAAAACAAACATAATGAAAAAAAACCTTATGACACATGTGTTTAGATAATTAAGAACCTTCACGGGAGCGCAAACTCACAGATGATCTCCAATTTCTACAACCCCTGGACGTCCCCTGGAGACGTCAGTCCCGCAGGAGAGGGGCATTGATCTTCGTTCTGATGTACAGTTCGAATTCGGAGCTTTGAAGCAGTTTCCCACTGCGAGATTAGTTCGGAGTAGAAACGTTTCTGTTCCGATGCCTCAACTGTGTCCCTCTAAAACTGGATCTCCCTCTGCAGGAGAGCCTCGGGTGATTTGAACGTGACCCGTAATTAATCCAGAGTGAACATGTAGAGGAATTCTCAGCCCATCCCTGCCAATTATCCAGATCCAGTACGAGCGAGTGACACAAACAGTGGAAGGAACAATTTAACTGGCCAGCAATGTGTTTTCCCTTCATTATACATTGTTTAGAGTTGTAGAAGAGACGGATGAAGCCGCAGGTAAAGAGGAAATGACGAAATTAAAAGACAACGATATGACAAGTTTCGTTACCTTGAATAAAATTCTTTATATTTGAGTTTGAAAATTGTTGGAAACATTTTGGATAATATAAGTACACAAGTCAACAACATGTTTTGACATGAATGAAGAATTACTAAGATTTATATTTCGTCATCTTGGCAGAGAAGAAAACGTCCTCCGCCTCGCGGGCGTACGAGCCCTCAGCACACACACGACAGTGTTTGTGCTCTAATCGTCTGCGTCGGTTCACCTCGAAAGGAGAGAGATTGTTTTTGTCGTCACTGCATCTCGGGAGATAATATGAAACAAATATGGTCATTACAGAACCTTTTCTTCTCGCAGCTCAGATTGGCCTGTCTGCAGAGGACAACACAGAGTAATGTCCTCCAAACGCTCATCGTTCATCTCAGGGAAAACTTTCCTACGATTAGAAACACGACTGGAGGAGAAACGGTGACGGATGCGACAACAGAACTTCACTGGCCTCATGAATCCCAGCGGCGTCTCCCCCCCCCCCCCCCCCCCCCCCCCCTCAGTTCATCTCTTTGGAGAAACTCATTAAAATCTGGTTTAGACTTTAATGATCCAGGGAGGATGAGTTTCTACGCAGCACTCAGGGTCCTGTTTCTGAAAACCTGCACCTGCAGAGCTCTGCACCCTTACCTGCTATTATCTCAGAGTTAAATCCGAATCCGCATGGCCCTGTTACCGTCTGTCCCGAGACCCGACCTGCGATCAAACACTTGCTACAGACAGTCACTCACATCAAACGACTCATGACCTCCTTGTCCCCGTTGTGGTGTTTGAGTCGTTCAAACCCACAGAACTATAGGAGAACTATATTTCTAGATATGAAAGTAAAATTTATCGACTGAAGCAAACTCGGAGTTTGAAGTCGCAGCACATCTTTGTCCTTGTGGTCGGTCGGGAATATTCCTGCAGCAGCTCCTGTGTGAACAATATATCATAAAAACAAATGAGCGAACGACAGAACACTGTTTCATGTTTGGGAGGAAGATAGTTTGGGGAGATGTATGAGAAGAGGGCGACCTCTGCTGAGAGGAATGAAGGTCAAGCGAGGCCTTTTGTCTGTGTCGCTGATGCTTATCTGTGTCTGAGCAGGTGCTTAACAACAGACACCTGGCTCCTTGTTTCTCCATCTCTTCACTTCTTCTCTGGAGGGAAAAACAAACCGAGCGGCTGAAGATGAAGACGACGGCCGACCCGTCTTTTCTCTGAAGGAGGAACAAAGAAGGATAGAAGTGGAAATGGAGAGAATAATAAACCGGGATAATGAGATACACCTCTGTCACTCTTGAAGATTCAGGTGAGGAAACTCTCGAAAAATCCTCAACTGGGATGATTTGGCTGAGGAAGAGTAAAACGGATGTGGAAGAGGAAATTGAAATAGTAATTGTTGTAAAGTGTGGGAAGAAGAGAAAGAGCGAGATGGGATTTATCAGCTGCCAGAGTGTGTCTGCTGTGTTCATCCATAAGGACGAATTCACATTAGATTAAACTGACATGCTGCTGATATTATTGGCCTTTTATTAAAAGTCATACATCAGCAGTGGAAGTCGTATCCCCTGCGATTCTGTCGATAACAGACACTGAAATATTCCAGATTTATTTCCTCTGAGGGTTTTAACTTTTAAACGTTTGGATATGTTGAGTGTAAAAGAGGATTTAAAGATTTTAAAACGGGACAGAAGCTCCAGAGAAAAAGCAAGTGTCAACAGTCAAGGTCTCTCGTCTCACGTGGGATATGAAGAGAGGAGGAAGTTTACAAACCACGTGTCGACCTTGAGGTGACACAAGAGAAAAAGACAGAGAATGAATAAAGTCATGAGGGTTCATCTCCTGGGAACCACAAATGACTCTCCACAAAATAAGCTTAAATACCCTGAGTAGAAAGTGACCTTGATATTTATATTCTGGAAGAGGTTCGGGATCAGTATCTTTAGTTACATCTTGTTCAAACCAGGCGGTAAACTAGAGTTCATACTTCCACCAAGACCCAACTGTCTCCTTGGGAAGCCACAACTGAATT